TTCCACAGTTGCTTCATCACTGCGTGATATAAATTTCTTCCAGTAGCTCATTAGGACTGCAAGTAACATCTGTCTTGCTTCATCCATTCTCACACCCTTTCAGTGGAGAGGGCTGTGTGTGCAGTGTAGTTTTTATTTTGGCAGGAACTTGTGTTTTTTTTTTTTTTAAGCCAACAATATAAACGTTTTGCTCCCTACAGATTGTGTGTTTAAAATTAGAAAAAAGCAGGTCACTCTGCTTGTGGATGGGGGAAGGGGAAAGATTTATGGGGTTTCTGCGTTCCCGTGGGAGTTTCTTAACCGGCCTCTGGGAAACTGCTGAGTCCTGCACAGATGAACTTCACCCTTATGGTAAGAGTTCTGTTTTGCCTGAGGAAAGTGCCATCAGAAGTGCCACCATGGCCATTGGCCCGGTGCTTTAAGTGATCTTTCAGATATGCAGAGCCCAAGCCCTTGAATGCCTTAAAGATAAGGAAGAAAACTGTGACCTCTTATGCACTGATATCCCAGGGCTTTGGGTTTTTGCCTGGTCATCTCCTCCCTTAACCAAATCCTGCTAGCTGATGTCTACGCCCTCCTGGCTTTCAGGCCCATACCTCTCTTGTCGACTGCTAAAACTGCCTCTGCGCTCCCTATTTCTTTCTCACTTCAGTCTTGTATATGTGACTGTTTTTCTGGCATCTCTCCCAAGTTCTCTTGCTGCCAACACAGGCTCAGTATGAGCTTCTTGTATTCCCTTTCAAATCCTTTTCTGTCGTGGCAAATAAATCCACCATCCTCTACACATACACTCCTGATATTATCCTTGACACCTCTTCACTCCTGGCACTGAGCTGCTGCTTAATCACGCAGATTCCTTCTCTGAATCACCTCATGTGTTCTTGCAGCCAAAAGCTTGTCTTTTATTTGGCACTTTCACAACAGGAGTACTGGGATCTCCTTCCTTTTGATCCCATTCCTGCCTTGCGTGCCCCGCTGTCATTAGTATGCTCTTACTTCACTCTGCTCTGTGGGCTGGCATCCCACTGCCTTTTGCGTCCAGTGCCCTACCTCTGCCTCGAGGTGTGTGCTGCACACACATTGCCAGTACCCTGGCTCCCTTGTGCCCTTCCTGCCTTTCTCATTTTCACGCGGCTTTGGAGAGTTTCTGCCCTGCTGCCGCCCCTTTGCAAAGCATGACCCTCCTGACCTTGGTCCCCAGGTAGCCTTTGCTTTCAAATCCCTCCTCCAAACATCCTTCCACAGCGGCTGCTCTCCCATGATGATCCCATCCTGGTGACATTTGTAAAAGGGGGGTAGGGGAGGAGGAGGGGAGCACACCAAACAAATCAAGCAAACAATATAGCTTAAAAACAGGAACTAGCATGATGTGCGTGTAACACCAGAAATAACCTCGCTGCCATACACAGTGCAAGCCCTGTCCTTCCCCTGACCCCTCCCCCTGCACGGCTCCTGCCATCTCTCTGCATTTTGTCAACCTCTGCTGCAGGCCCCCAGCGCAGGGACCTCTCTCCTGTTTCTCTGTAAAGCTCCTTGCTGCCTCTGGCTGTGTAGGTCTCAGTGATAAGGGTTTTAGCTGTGCTGTTCCCTCGCAAAGCAAAGCAACTGGAACCGCGAGCAGCTTCCCAGCAGAATTCTTTCAGGATAACGCTGCAAAACCCCTGCGCTGCACCGCTCTGATCTTTATCTCGAGCAAATGACAGACGCAAAACGAGGGCTAATATAAAAATACGATTTTTTAAAATCAGGAAAAGGAGTGACTGGGAAATAACTGCAGGCACAGGCACACCCTTTCACCCTCACACGCACACCTGCAGCTCCTGCTTTGTGTGGGGAGGGTGTTCGTGTTTATTAGCCTTTTTCCCTAGCTGCCCGCTGGAATGGACTTTGTTCCTCCAGGTTGGGGCTCCTAAGCAGCGGGAGGTTTTCCACGTGTGTTTGAGAAGGTACAAAGCCTGCAGGAAAACAATGGAAATAGCTGGCTTATGACTGCTGCGTGTCACGCACGTGTGTCTCGCCTGGTCGTTTGTCCTTGGAGCTGCTGGCGCCGCCTGGAACCCGATCTCCAGTGGTCCCCAGTAATTCGGCCTGGCATGCACGGCAGCCGGCCGCC